TCCAGGTTCCCGTGGTTCGTACTGGTACCCTTAGGAAATGGAACCCTAGGCCGGCGTGTGGCACCGCTTTCAGTTCAGTACACCCTATCCTAAGTGTGTGTGTTTGTGCACAGCTCTATGTGACAACACATGCCGGTGGGTCTTCTCCCTCTCGAATGAGTCGGGGTAGAATGCTCGCCTGGATTTCAATCAGCGCTATCTTCCGCACTACATGAAATCTCTCATGATTGAGTTGGCCTGAGTTTCCTGATGTTGCGGTAGGACTGGTCGGCCTCACCACAGTTTGAGGTCTCAAGTTTCAGGAAAATGTGCAGAAAAAGCGCACCGAGGTCTCATAATAGCGAAGCTCGTTTCTTCGGGGTTGGCCGCTGAGAGGTAGCTGACTGGACGAGCAGGGAAGCTACTTAGGCTAGCTTCAGTCTAGCTAGCGGCTAGAAAAAGCAGAAAAGCTCGGGGTTCAAGGGAGTAAAGAAGGGAGCAAGCTCTCCCCCTGGACTAGAAAAGCGTTCTTGCTTTGGTCTTTAGATGTTGAGAGGTCGAAAGAAGGATAAGGGGCTCTTCAATAAAGGCCTTATCAAAGAGGTCCTTCTCACCCCTTGCTATTACTGTATGCTGTCTTCTTTTAGACTCTCTTCCTCTTCCTTTTCTAAAACAGGCTGAACAAGGGTGCCTCATACAACTCACGCTCGCTCATGCACAGCTCATCTTCATCGACCTGCATCAGTGCAGGTCTGTACCAAATCCAGGTTGCCCACAAAGGTGCTCGAGCTGAATCCTCTATGTCGAGCCACTGGGCAGTTTGTGTGACAAACCATCTATTCAATACCTCATGTTCCGTTCCACATGTCACTTGCAACACGTTGGAGAAATTTGCCCCGAAGCGTGGCCTTCTTCTTTTTCTTTTTCTTCTTATCTTCCACTGGGATGAGGTCCAGTTTGGACCTTGCTCGCTGACAACAAGACCATTGTCACAAAAGGAGTGGCACTCTCAGACAATAAACATACATCAACTGCCCCAGTGGAGCTTGTCACAAGATCATCACGGCTTGATGTGCCGCACTGAGCGGTTGTGGAACTTGACCAGCTCCGACCTCAAGATTCTAAGCAAAGCTGACACACTAAAAAGGCACCCAAAGGCACTGAAAGGGAAAGGCACTTGCATGGTCCAAGCTGCATATCGGAGGTCCATACACCACTGCAAGTAGGCACAGCGCCAGCACCTTTGATCACCTCTGAGAGGATATCTGCACGAATTGATCGGTTTGTACTTCTTGTTACTACTAGTAAGGCACTTGTTTCTAGCAGCGTGGCACTTGTTCCTAGTAGCTTCTTTGTTACAAGTAAAAAACACAAGAATGCAACAAAACTGTTGTGATATGTTGTTCTGGCCTCACCACCAGTAGCATCAGCACCGTAGCAGAACCTCTGGAATCTTGCCAGAAAAGAAAACACGGCATGGCCACACAGTGTGGAACATGATATTTTTAAACCTATTGGGAGTATTTGATCTTCAAGTTCAACATACTCTCTGGTGCCCTGCTTGTCATGCACAGCAGCTCGATGCAATCGGCCTGGCTGCACTTCCGAAATGTTCCAAATCAGCAAATACGCATGACTGGTTTGCTCTCACCCTTGAAACTTTTCCTGAGAACAGTCGATACATGTCGGAACCAATCTAGTACCGCACATGGCTGAGAGATTTTGGAACAAAGTGTGATCTTGATACTTAGAAATGGTAGGTTCCAGCAGCAAAAGCCATTTAACTCAAGAGTTTCAGCTGGTCCTGCCGTGGCATTTTTCAGAACAGCATGAGCACATGAAGCCAGGCTCAGACAGTACACCATTATTTTTGCTCGGAGCCAAAGGAGCCTTGTGTCTTGAGTGATCGCAAGGCATTGCCCAAGTCACCATCGCTGGCACTTTTTGCCTGTCGGATCAGCGGTTTCAAGTTGCCCTGTTCATTGATAGGTCTCTTTGCAAGAAAGATTCTTTGTGGTTCAAAAACTGCCCCACGCCGAAGGAGTAAATTGCAAAAACACTCAGTGATCATGCAAAGTGTAGTGCAGTTGCATCTTGCATTCTGCACACTCTGTTTGCACTAATGTTGTGCTTGACTCATGCCTGGACATACTGTTCCCAAACCTGCAAACCCATTAGACGGCCTCACGACCAGGCCCAGGCAAATCCTTGGTAGTTGGATCCTGGAGTACGGAAACTCTGTCTTTTTTCGAAGAAAAGCTGTCAGCAAACTCACTCGAAAAGGGAAGAGTCACAACTTGTACAAGGGTCACAATACAGCAAGGGATTCCAAGCACTGCTTACGTTGTGGCCTTGTGTTTCCAATTGGTGAAAGATAATGTGTATGTATATATATATATTCTATATATATATACAGTCATGTGTTACCTGTCTCTAGAAATGTATATGCCTGAAAACGATTTCACTCTTCGACCAAAAGTGCAGAGATCCAGCTACTCCACACAGCAAGGAGCTACAACAATGTCTTCAAAGCTAGCGCCCTTGCTCCTAGTAGAAATGTCCTTTGTTGCTAGTAGCTTCTTGTTCCTAGTAGTAAGGCCAGATGCCTGCTAGTAGCATCCTTGCCCCTAGTAGAAATGCCCTTTGTTACTCGTAGCTTCTTGGTCCTAGTAGTAAGGCCAGGAGCTACTAGTAGAGCCCTTGCTCCCAGTATAAATGCCCTTTGTTACTAGTAGCTTCTTCTTCTTCCTAGTAGTAAGGCCAGGAGCTACTAGTAGCGTCCTTGCTCCTAGTAGAAATGCTCTTTGTTACTAGTTGCTTCTTGCTCCTAGTAGTAGGGCCAGGAGCTACTAGTAGCGTCCTTGCTAGTAGTAATGCCCTTGTTACTTGTAGCTTCTTGCTCCTAGCAGTAATGCCAGGAGCTACTAGTAGCGTC